GCTGCCTGCCCTTTCCCTCTGGCCCTGAGAAGGTGAACAGCCACTAAAATTGGCTCTGGCAGCAGGCAGGGACAAGTGACAGTCACTTTCATGCAAAGAGAAACCAGGTGCTTTCTGCTTAACACCTTGGAAAGTGAGATCCTGCCCCACAGGTTAAACCTCCCAGCCCAACTGAAACCTCCCAGCCCAGCCCAGCCCAGCAGCCCTGGGAGCTCTGCAGACCCCAGGACCTTTAGCAGGACCCTGGGCAAGGCAGGTGCAGCTGTGACACACTTTGAGGTCACAGCTGTCCAACCAGAGCTTGCACAACTCAGCTACAGCCTGGCCTGAGGAGATGGGGGCAATTAAACAGTCTGAGCAGGGACAGGGAGAGAGGTGGTTTGAGAAGAAGTTTTTGCCCATGGGTTTTTGTACAGAAAAACCACTTGGGGGGCAGGAATGGCACAGACATCCCAGCCTTCTGCATGCACCCAGGAGGGAATATCACATCTTCAAAGCATCACCTCTGCTTCTGCCCACTTGCTCAATTTCCCATCCACCAAGCACATCCAGAGTCTCTGCATCCTGAGGGGAGGATGGCACCCTGATATTTGCATCCCCAACCACAGCCCAACCACATTCAATCTCCCTTGGCTCCCACATAAATTACTAACTCATTCCTCATCCAGGGAATACTCACTGTAAAGCCAAAAAAAAAAAAAGTGAAAAAAGGCAGGAAAAAAGTAACAAGGGGATCCAAACTCTTGTCCTACCTCTGAAATTTTGTATTCACAGGTCAGCTTCTTGCCCCTGACACCTTCATTGAGAGTGAGGATGAAGCCCATGTAGTCTGCATATGCCTGTGAAAACAGCAAGAGGGCAGAGCTTTAGGGAGAGCCCAGGGTCTGTCAGAGCACAAAGCACAGCCCAGGAGCATCCTGCACCCCAAGGGAACCTCTCCCAACACACAGCACTGCTTCCTTGGAGACACCCGGGGGTGCAGGGCTTGCTGTGAAATTGCTGCTCTTTTTGGCAGCCCCAGAAGCAGTAGGCAGGTGGTGATTGCAACGCTGCAAAAATTACAGGAAGGAGAATCCTAAAAATGCTCACACTGACCCCAAAATCATTCCCTCAGCTCCCATCAGGTCAAATTCAAACTCCTCAGTTCTGCAGAGTCTCAGCTGTGCCCAGGCATTGTGCTCTGCTCTGCTCCTCCCAGACCTGTGCTTTACCTTCCCTTTCCCCCTAAACTCTTGCTCTGTGCTCACTAAAGGGGAGACAGCCCAAGCTCCTCACTCCCTTCTCTTTAGATTTGCTGCTTTGGAAACATCCAGTGCAGCTCAGGAGCAGCCCACTGCCACTTCTCCCTCCCTGCCTCGAAATCCTGACCAGGAGCAAGTCCTTAAACCCAGGAGACTGAAACTGGAAGCTGCACCCAGAGGTTTGTTCGACACCTGGCCATAACCTCAGTTTCCCTCAAGACATCTCTCATCAGTCATCAAGCAAGAATTTGCCCCTAAGAGGTGGGACAAGTCTGGGCCAACACCTCAATCCCTCAAAGGCAGAGAGAGCAGAACCTGCTTGTTCCACCAGCTCCACACAGGCTGTAAACAAAAATTATCCAGGAAATCGAAGGGCTCAGCTCCAGAGCAGCACAATGGGAAGGAATCAACTCAGGCTGGTGCTAGCAGGGCCAGGCAGCAGAGCCATGTTTAAGGTGAGCTCAAACAGGGCTGAGTAAATCCAGTTTGGTTATAAAGCACAGGCCAGGAAGGATGAAACAGTCACCAGCTTCTCATCCAGCTTGCTGGGAGGAAGCAGTAATCATTACTGCCAAGTAATTTTCCTACAAATAAGCACCAACTCTTCTTTAAAACAAATTCAATTATTGTCCATTCTCTGCCCAAGCCTCCTTTACTTCCAGACCAGACCTGGCTGCCACCAAAAGATCAGCAGCATTTTCCAGCACTCCCTGTCCCCAGAGCCATACCTGAGATCGTTTCCACTTGGCCATGTCAGAAACCACATTTATCTCCTTTTTGGGGACCATGAAGCATTGCTGGACAGGAGGAGCCACCTCCTCAGAGGTGCCTGGGAGATACAAAAAAAAAGATAAAACATAGGCACTGGGGAAGGAGTAATCCTTTATTTTTCTTACTTAGAAATGAGCTTTATTTCTCAGGAGACACAAAGCACACAAATCCATCCCAGCTGGGCTGTAATCTCTCCAAGTCCTCCTCACCAACATCCTCCTAAGGACACTGCAAGCCTTCAGACAGAAGCATTATGTCTGTTTTCATTGTTAAAGATGCATTTCCCATTCACAGAGAGACTAGTGCAGGAGATAAAAGCAACATCCAGCCAGTTTAATTATTTCTGTCTAGTGCAGCCAAGCCCCAGGTCATGCTGAAGCACTGAGCTCTCCTACAAACTAACTCTGCCTTGTTTTTAAGTGTCAAGCCTGACCTTCATTCCTCTAAAAGGATAATTCCTGCATGGACAAGCTGGAGCAGTGCAATAAATGCAGCCCAGAGCCACAGCTCTGGTCCAGGCAGCACCAGGACTTGGGGGATGATGGGCACAGTCTCTTCCAGGTGGAAGCTGTGAAGATTGTTTCATTTCAAAGCCTAGGATGTAATATTTAATGCAAATGGGAGTTGCTAATGAATTAGAGGGGATTTTTTCCTTTCAGGGCCCAACCTGCAGAACCAGAAAAGTTCCCAGAGATTTAAAGTAATTTGTAGTATGCTTCTGTAAGTGCAACTTTTCATAGGAAGAGGCAGTGCAGAGAGCACTGTCAAAGAACCTGGGCACTAATGTCAATTTATGAATTCTGTCAGAGTCACACAGTTCACCTTTTTAAACCCAGAAAATCTGCAGGTATTTATGCAGCACCAGCTGCCCTGACACACTCCAGCAACTGCTGTCCTCAACCCCGCCAGTTCAGGCACAGTCTCCCTAACAAACCACCAAACTCCAATGCCTTAAAATATCATCAGCTGCATTTACATAGAAAACACCACCCAGAACCATCAGCAGCCTTTTCCACAATGCTCTCTAGCAGGCAGATCTGATTAAAAGGGATCCAAAGTCCCAGGAAGCACACAGAGTCCACTGCAGATTTGTCATACAACCTTTGACAGTCATTGGACTTCTTTGCCCTTCACATTCCCCATGCACAGAACAAATTCAGCCTCATCTCCTGCCCTGAATGTTGCAATGTTTGGTTCATTTCTGCAGAAGTTACAGCAAAACTTCCAGGTAGGAGGATGAGAGGAACAACATGTGATGAATTTAAATTAAAAACACGTGTGTTTCTCTTCTGAAAATTCAGCACACAACTCACAGCGACTGGCACCACAGCAATGGAGCTCTGCTTTTAAGAGTTTATAACATGAAAACAATGAAAAACGCCCAAGCAGTGAAGTGAAAAGGCAAACACTGATGTGTCCATCAGCACAGGTGACACATAAATCCCAGGGCAGTGTCCTGATCTGGGTGTTTGCCATTAACAGAACTCCTTTCCTCTCTTTGTGTTTGTTTCTCAGCCATCACTGTTTCTGATCCATACTTTGTGCAATTCCTCTTGGTGAGGAGACCAGGAATACTCAAGGAAGGAAACAGTGAGGCTGCAGGGATTACAGCATTCTGGGATGAGTACACAGGAGTCCAAGCCTCCTGGTATGATGGAGCACAGCTTTATGACGAGCAGCAGCTCGGGCAGAGGAGGCACTTCCAGGCTCGTGTCACGGTGTGAGGAGCGGAGTCAAAGAGAACCAAATCCGGTCTGGGGGTCACAGGGATCCCCGATCCAGAGCCTCAGTCCCGACCACCAACCTCGCCCTGGGGTGGTGCCAAGACTCG